CTTGACCTCGAAAGAGCATTTAAGACCATTGATAGGTCTATACTACTAGCTAAATTGAATATATATGGAATAGAGGGCATAGTGTACAATTGGTTATCTAATTATTTGACCAACAGAAAAGAACGGGTAAGAGTGAAAGACATATTCTCTTGTGATATCGACAATGATGTTGGAGTTCCCCAGGTTAGTGTTTTGGATCGCCTTTTTTTCATACTATATTTGAATAACATTGTTTGTTGATTGTAAATTTATGATTTTTTTTTGCTGATGATACTCTATTGGCATGTAGCGATGTGAACCTCGAAAGGGCTATACAAAAAATTAATAATACAGCTGGAAAAGATGCAGTACTTCCTGCAAAGCCTTATAACTTCCAAATGTACCACATTCAATTTTGATTGTGAATTGATGAACTTTTTTGCTGTTGCTATTGGCATGTGGCGATGTGAATCTCGAAATAGCTTTACCAAAAAATTAATAATACTCTAAAAAGTGTCAACAATTATTTGAAAATGAATAAACTAAAGCTGAATGTATTGAAAACAAAAGCAATGATAATCACCACCAAATTTAAATACAGCCAAATAGACACAAAAATTATTAACCTCAGCATTGATGATGAAAGAATTGAAGTAGTGAATTCAACTAAATATCTGGGATTTCTGATGGATAACACTCCATCATTTAATGAACATTTTGAGTATATTCATAAAAAAATACAAAAAATTATTCTTTTTTTCTGGAATTGATAGTCACCGAGTCAAGTATCACAGTTTACAAGTCAATTGTTCACCCACACTTTGACTACTGTTCGTCTATCCTATAACTATTCAATCAGAATAAATTGTCTTAACTCTAAAAACTTCAGAATCGTGGTATGAGGATAATTTTGAAGTGCCGTAGAGATAGCTCTACTACTATTATGCTTAATGTTTTAAATTGGCAATCCATTTCCCAAAGACTATTATATTTCACAATGATTTACGTATACAAAATATTGAACAATGTAGGACCATCTTATTTCGAACAGTACATTGTCTTTCATCATGATATTCACCACCACTTCACTCGAAATAATAATAATTTATATATAAACAGAACAAAAAACAAAAACACCAATAATTCTTTGTTTTTCAAGGGTTTTTATCGATGCAACAAATTACCAAATGTAATTAAAAATAGCCCATTTCTGGGGGTGAAAACGAGTGTATCACATAAAAAAAATAGTGTACCGAAAAAATTGATATTTTACAAAAAAGTTAATTTATAACAAAATTTAAGTAGTTTGGGACTCTACATCACAATAATTGCTAAGAGGTTTTGTGGAGTAATAGATAAACTCTGGGCTTGCAAATCAATGGTTGTGAGTTCAGATCACATCAACTGCACCTTTTTATTTTTTCAACCATTCAAATTTCAAACTATTTGAAATTGAATAAAACACGAAATATTTTTTAATGCTTTCTTAGGTCGCCTCTTGTTATAAAATTTAATGATATTAATATCATTCAGGATATCCTTCACGAATGAATCTTATTTCGAAATATTCCTCATATAATCCATAGAAAAACTTTAATAAGCATTACTCGCTCATTGAATGATATACTATTATTAAAATTATAAACACTCTCACTTATTTTTTGTGTTTTCTTCAGCATTGCACAGTAATTTGTGAAACTGTACAAGAGAATGATAGTAATGACACCTGTTAGGATAGGTTAGGTTACGTTAGATTAGGTTCATGATTTCCAGTACTTATTATTTGCCAACAATCACTAACAGGAGAATATGACTATTAGCGTTTGGTGTACAATGTTCAATTATTTCATAAAACTAGTTGAAATTGTTTAAACTTCGAGACATACTGTTCAAGGGATCTGTTTTAAAAAAAATCAGCTGAAATAAAATTTTCTTTGAAATGCTTGAAGTGCTTGATCGAAGATTGCCCTATAATTAAATTTACAAAAGTACTATCTGTTTTAGTAGTCACTAATTCCCTTGGATAAGTCAGAGTCTTTAGCTTTGTTGGAGTGTAGCTGCCGGAGAGATGTGTAGTTACAATAATTGCCTTCCCTCCAATTTCCCACGAAGGGTACAACGCCCTCGGAATTGACACTCAACACTTGTATTTTAACAGCATCAACTCTATTCTATATAAGCAAACTGAAATCTTATTATGTGATGTAAATTTTGAAATATCCATCCATGACTAATTTATGACAATATATACAGAGATAATCCACATTTTCAACCTTTTTGCATCAATTTGCTCTCATTCAACAAACATTCCTTGTAAAACATTTGGAACAACAAACAAAACCATTTTTTTTGGTTATGAGTATTGTCCGATTCTTGATGAAAATCCACAACTCGATGAAGCTATTATATAGCGAAACAAGTGTTTCAGTTTTGTAAACTGTCTAGTGAAAATCTCACAATAAATACTTGAATTCTTTTTTGTTTCAACTAGTTGGCTTGTAGCTGAAGCTGCAGAGACAGACAGAGGACGAATCTTGTTCAGCTGCCAATATCAAGGCTTGGCTTTGAAATGAGCTGCCTTCAACAGCCTTGTTTATCTTTGATACTCATGGTTTGAGTCATCTGTCGACCCTACAGATGGCGTCATCATGAGGGGAGATGCCATGCTTACTTATACCCAAGCTTGTCCTTTAAGAACATTTGAGCCTAACAATGCATTCGCAGCTAAGCCTAAGCTAAGCTAAGCACCACCGACTTGAAGTAGGTCAAAAAAGCGCTGTCTGGTATTGGATTATGAATGCTTCGGATTCAACTTGTTGCTGTGTAGTGAAAGCTAAAAAACGACCACTGCAAGGAGCCTCTTTTATCTTTGTCATTTATATATTGTCTTCTGTGGATCCCACAAATAGAGTGTCTTCACACGGGAAGATGTCCCTACTCCAGCTTGTCATTTAAAGTCAGTTAAGCTCAACAACGCATTTGTGGTTCAGTCTAGCAGAGACAGACAGATGACAAATCTTGTTAGGCAGTCAATGTTGAAGCTTGGTTCTGCAAGCCATCTGTATCTGTAGAGTAGGGAGGGTGAGTGTAAGCCCACGCACTTAGGCCACATGTGACCCATTGTACATCCTCCCGAGGAGTTGTCTTCCTAGGTCGTCGTCCATCCTGTCCTTTCCAGGAAGGTGGACAGGTCGCTGGGAGACATCTCCTTTATATCGGCAGGTGTAGGCCAAGACTCGCCGAACACACTCTCTTTTATTGNCATTTACCGCGATTGTTATCCTTCTTGTTTTGATGAATTTTCGTCTCCAGCAAAAAAATACTTCCAGAAGGAAGTATTTTTCAAATAAAATCCAGTGAGAATTGGGTAAAGCTTTTGTGGTTACAGTCAATGTTATTTGTCATTTACCGTGATTTTTATCCTTCTTGTTTTGATGAATTTTCGTCTCCAGCAAAAAATACTTTCAGAAGGAAGTATTTTTTAAATAATATCCAGTCAAAATTGAGTAAAGCTTTTGTGGTTACAGTCAATGTTATTGTCATTTACCGCGATTGTTATCCTTCGAGTTTTGATGAATTTTCATCTCCAACAAAAATACTTCCGGAAGGAAGTTTTTTCTTTTCAGAAGGAAATATTTTTTTTTAATACTTCCAGAAGGAAGTATTTTTTAAATAATATCCAGTCAAAATTGAGTGAAGGTTTTGTGGTTACAGTCAATGTTATTGTCAAAATCACTATCGAGAAGTGGTAGGAGAATTTAAGAACTTGAACATAAACATAGAAAAAGTCTTTGAATAGAATAGGTAAACCACACCACAAGGGATAAACGGTGGAATGAGGACATACCATGAAAATAATATATGAAAGATTCTTTAAGGATTTTTACCGTTGATTGCAAGTACTCATAAGATTGTTTATCTATTTCATTTAACACAAGATATGGGAGACCCATTTCAAAAACCCTTTTTGAACTTTTGGGAAAGAAATGTTTTGACTTTCTACTTCTCCTTTTATATACAGAAAAATATAGGAATCAAGATGAAGAAGTAGAAAGCTAAAACCTTTCTTTCCCAAAAATCAATCTCTTCTGAAAATATACCCCTTTCTTTTTTAACTGTTCTCAATTCAATAAGACAACTCAAGAAGTCTGAAACCACTGAAGTCACAGTGTATATTGTATAGTCCACACTTTTGAAAGTATGTATACTGAAACCATCAAAAGATAAACAAACAAAAAGGGAAAAATTATTACGCAGAGGAGTCGGCAGCGACTGAACACATTCTCTAAGATGTACGAAAAATTTGAGGATCTCTAAAAATCATTAAAACCCATAGGCAAAAAACAATTTCGATGAATTTCAGTAGGGCAATAGAGGGAAATTAAAAATTTTTTATGAAAAGACACCCACAGAAATATATAATATATAGTAACAGAGAGAAAAGTCAATAAAATCTTACTCAATGTTGGAATAATATTTGATAAATACTTACTCAAAATTTTCAACTTCACAGTACTTTTCATTTTGTGAACAGAATCATCTCACGTATTCAACTTTTTTACTAACATAAGAAAGTAAAGAAGTTTCTATACGTAAAATTTGGATGATTTAGATATAATAATGTATCAATGAAGGACCATACAACTGTCATATGAACAAAATGTATTGTTTCAATCTGTTTTTAAAATCATCTTTCTAAAATATGAAACTCAACTCTCACAATAACTCCTTAAAATAATCCTTTTTCCAGTCACCAATGTTTTTAGGCTTATATGTAGAATATGACAACTTTCAATATGAGCACTGAAGGCTATACATGTATCTAAATCAAATCATCTGCAACAGTTGAAGGGTTTGAAATAAATTAAATGGTCCTGTACCAATTTCTCACTTTTTTTATGTAATACGACAGTTTTAACAAATCTATGGTTAGAGTCCCTCGTTTTTAAGAGCAGCACAGACATAAATAGTTCTTTACCTACAAATAAATCAATATATACACAATAAAATGTCAGACATACCTTGACAAGAGGAACCATTAGTCCAGCAGGTAAGTCGTAATATGGAGCAGTTGGCATAAGGTCTTCCAGATAAGTATCCGGTTTTGAAATGAAGCCAGGAGGAGGCTTGGAGAAATCCGGAAACATCCCAGGAGGTGAAAAGTAACCCGGAGGTGGCTGTGTGAAGGGAATGTTAATGTTTTCTATCCCATTTGGAGGTTGGCCTATCGGCGGTGGTTGTTGACTCAGATCCGGTGTCACAGGAAAAACAGGAATGGTACTCATGTCAGAATAGTTGTTTTGAGGTTGATTCAAATTGTTCACGTTATTTGTGAGCATTTGGTTCATTTCTGGAGGTTGCTGATTCATGTTCGACTGATTCAAAGTTGGTGGAGGGACAGAAGGGTTCATCTGTAGATAAGTATCGTTAGGATTTGGAGGGTTCATGGTTGGAATAGAAAAGGTTTGTGAATTTGGAGTAGATGTTGTATTTATACTCTGGGAAAGACTTTGTATGGTCTGTTGTAGGCTAGCTTGAATTGTTTCGAGGGGAATGATTGAAGATGAATTAGTAGGGGGCAACTGAATTTGTTGATTTGGAACTGATGTGTGCTGTTCCAAATTTTGTTTTTGTTGTTGTAAGTCCATTATCTGTTGCATAGCATGACAAACAAATGCTTGGTGCTGGGCTTGGTAACCATCAAATGTTACTTTAGTTTGTGCTGCTAGAGCAGCAACTTCTGCAGAATACTTTGCTACCTGTTCAGCCTGATACTGCTGATAACTTTGCAGTGGGTTTCTCATTTTTTCTAAGGTATCAGCTTTCAAATAATTCGTTTTAGACTCCCACAATTTTAACAATTTCTCTAATTTTTGCCTTTGGTCATTATTAGCGGCTATACTGGCATTGCAAAACATAGGAACCACAACTCTTTCCAAAGCATCCTTTAAATCATTGGCATTTTTCCTGGCACTGTAAAAACACAAAATGATCAAAATATTTATTGTTATTTGGGTTCACACAGAGTTTCAAAATTTTGATCTTGTATCTTATATAATTTTTGATCGCTGATAACAAATATGTGGTTGATGGGATCTACTTTCTGAATAGTTAGTATACATTAAGTATATCAAAATGGAAATTTTTTGAACAGTTTTGTATTATGATCAGAAATTTTTCAGGAGACTTTATATATATATATAGTCAAANAAAAAAATCAAGTGTTTTTTGTATGACTTAAGCTTTATTCGTCGGACAGAGCAGAACAAGCACTGCTCCCAAACATCAGCATTGCAACACTCTTCTCGGTGCAGGCTTCACCAACCAAGTTGAAGTCTTCAGGAGATGAAATAGACTACTGGTGAAGTCTCCCTATACAAAAAAATATTGAAAATTTAAAGGATTTTCTGAGGGTCTATGGTTTCTGTGGATAGGTTATCGAAGACTACATACAACTAACAAAGTTCTCCATGGAACAGAATTGCTCCCAGTTCAACAATTGTTTCTACAGACAGCACGAAGACGCGATGATGGAAAGCCCACTGTCTCCCTTTATAGCTAGCTCATGAACAGATTTGTTCAGTTTACTTTTCACGGACTTGGATCCGGAAATAGAGCTGATGTATTTGCGATTTTTCATACAAAGACTTTGACTCTGTTTTCCGTTAACCATCTGTCGGCCCTCTACGAACGACAACCCTCAGAATTCGAAACTTGTGCGAGCTAAGGATTAACGAGATTTCACCTTTTAACATGCGATTCCTAACACTTCGATGCCATTCTCAACAACAGATCCCTGAATATTGAGTTTACATATAAAATGTCTCAATGATTAGAGGTAACCAGGGTCTAGAATTTGATGTCTACAGGAAAAATAACAGTACTTCTAGATATATTCCTGATAGCTCACACCATTGTCCATAACACAAAATGGCAAGTCTGAACTTTCTGGTTCATAGGCTGGCTATGTTCCCATGGCTAAGGAAGGATATGATACTGAGAAAAATGTTATGAGGGGCATAGCCGAAAGCAACGGGTATATTCAAATATAGTAGATGAAGTAATTAGGAAATGTAGATTTGGGAAGAATCTCGACTTTCCAAAAATACATCGTTTCCAAGTTCATTGTTTTTCTGTATGAACGAATTAGATCGCATTTTTTTGAAGTTGAATGTGAAAGTAGCCTTCCAAAATTTTTGCTCACTTCAACAAATTTAGGGTAACCCTAAAGATAAGATGTTTGAAAATGAAAAGTCGGGGATATATGAAATAAGCTTTAAGGACTGTGACAAAAAATACATCAATAAGATCAAGTGACCTATAAAAAGACGCCGCGCATATATCCGATTTCAGAGACCAGAAAAATGTAGAGTTGCTCAACATGTCATTAAGAACA